TAAGTCATTTGTGTGAACACATATTGAAACATTCAAAAAATAAAGTTATTTGTGTGAAAGCATATTGCTGATTATTGCCATATAATTCACTTAAGTTAATGGTACGTGTTTGTGGTCACAGTTTCATTCATGGATCCTTATGTCATATATGACTGACTGACCAATATTGACTAGCCTACAACTTGGATATGATTCCTAAAAGTTTCACACCTACAGCACACATTACAGACATTGATGCACAAACGCGGATATGTTCTACATGTCTACAGTATAGAATGAATAAACCAGTCTTATAACCTCCTTGATTTCGCTTAAGCAACTTTAAATATAATATGCATGCACAATAAACTATTGTAAAATGTATTTACATCACTCGACAGAAAGGTTTTTGCAGGTTTTTTAAAAATGTAAATTAATAACTGTCATAATAAGCATATTCCAGTATGCGTCTCAGGCTTGCACAGTATCGTCAACTCACTCATCAGAATCTTCGATAATCCTCGGCAAACTTTGCCACGGCTCATTCAGTTCTTGTTAAGTCCTCGGTAATCCTCAGTAATCCTCGGTAAACTTCGACAGTTGGTTGAACCGGCTCAATCGGTTCTTTTTTGGCGCTTTTCCACTGTGTGGTATGACTTGGCTCGGCACGGCACGGCACGGCACGGTTCGGCTCGGTTAGCGTTTCCACTGCGGTTTAGTATGGCTCTAGAATGGGCGGGATTATTCACATGTCATTATAGTTGCGCCGCCTCTACTGCCGCGACTCCTGAAAAACTTTTTCATTCCGTGTCGCCCCATCAAACTCTCGCTGGATCCGCTCCTCTGCTATCAACCAGAGGAATGTCTGTACTTCCTCAACAGACAACGAAACAACTACTTTTTGGTTGTTAAAAAAAGGTGTGCTCGTTCAAAACAGTTGCGTTCGATCCTTCGCTGGCTGTGCTGATTTAAATCTAGCGGTTCTTTTGTGTTTGTGTCGCAAGTTCAGTGACGCAGGTAGTGACGATTCTCTCCGGCCAATCAGTGATCAGCAGAGTTTACATGTCATGTTTTGGTAATGGTATGGTTCGCTTGGAACCTCAACCGAGGTGGTACTAAAAAAAGTACCAGGTACCAGGTACTGTACCCAGTGGAAAACCCCCAAAAGTGAACTGTACCGAGCCGTACCATGCAGTGGAAAAGCGGCATCTTTTTGAGTTGGACGTAGAGGTCTGCACGGGACTGTTTTTTAGTCCCGCTCGCGCTAGGTTCTATTCCGCACCCACCCGCTCCCGCTATATATTCACTCTTTGTTTACCCGCTGTCCGCTTAGAATAATTTTCTTCCCGACCCGACCGTTCCCGCTAAATTTAGACACTCGTTTCCAGAATCTCACATTTATAGGTTGTACAAAAATAGCCTATTAGTTTTTTTTTTTCGTCTTGTCAAAATACTAAATTTGTTTGACATTTTTCTGTTAACACAGTAGGAAAAGTGTCGCAGAGAAAAATAAATAAATACGACATCTTTCTTTCATTTAAAATTATAGGCTAAGCAAAATATAAACAAAACGTCCTTGTTGAACGTCCTTCAAGGACAGCGCATCCACACTTTGCTCCATCCTTATTCTGCTCTGTCACCCATCGACAACCTGCCTGTTCTGTCTGAGGGCCGTATATTCACCACCGGTAGGTAGTGCTCTGAGCATCGTTATGCACATGCT